GTAGCCTATGTGACTATACCAAAACACACAACGCCATCTATACCAATAATTTCATTTTCCCTCGAGAATATCAAATTTTTCCGGGATAAAAAGTACCCTATTATTTAATCCAGACTTCTAACTTTACGTCTGCAAAAATTCAAAGCAATCGGTTTAGTAGTTACGGCGTGAAAGCAGAACAAACAAACAAACAAACTCACTTTCAGATCTATAATATTAGTAAGGATTTGACTTTAGAAGCATTAATATTACGACTACTATTTGTTTAATGGGTGGGTAGCAGAAGGTTTTCAGTTATTGTATAATTTATTTCACTGCCTATCGAGCAGCAAGAGACTAGACAAGAGAAAAGAGTAACGAATGGTAGAGTAACGAATGGTAAAGAGTAACGAAGAGTAACGAATGAAGTCAGATACTAGCTCGTTCTTCTCCACTTGAATCTACTTTTGGAACGAGCACCTAGCTTCACTGGCGAAGAGACTGACCGACTATTATTTATTTTCTATTTGTTGGCGTTAAGTACTAAATTATGGTATAATTGAAATAAATGATTTTGAGTTTTTCGTGAGTTCGTTGAGATTTGAGTGAGTGATTCTTAAAAGCCGAATAAGGGATTACATATAATAGATACGATGAAGCAGAACTTTCTGAAAAACCTGAACCTTTTGATCTACGATCTCCTTCCTCCTGGAGAGGTGTGGAGATATGGCAAATCTGAATATAATACAATAAGCATATGTTTATTTTATTTATATTGCTGTATAATGCACGAGATGCCTATCATTATATTCGATGTGGTCTCAAACTTAAAACAAAATAGGCCCCTAATAATTCTTTTTTATCCATTGTAATAAATAGATAGAAGTGTCAATTTCAGTTATTCAGTTCGTTTGTCGTAGTGCTAGCTATATAGGTTTTTTTTTTAATTATTTAATAGAGCAGACGGGTTAGCTGATGGCAATTAGTAAGTATTCGACACCGCTCATGGATACCCGAATCACTATAGGAGTCTCAGGTGCCCGCGTTTTAGAATGAATAGAGTAACAAATATATATTATTATTTATATTTATTTTGATATATGAATGCTGGAAAGAACTATTGACAAACACTTAGGTAAATGCTAATACTTCCATTCTAAGGACACGTCGGCGTCGCCACAATTAAAGTTTCCGCGAAGTGGTTCCGTAATGTAGGTTGCCACAAACACATCAAGCTATACAGAACTATCAAATTCCTTTAATGGAACTTCAACTTTATCGTTTTGTAATAAAGTCAAAATTATTGACAGATTTCGACTATGCTGACCTGCCAGAAGGCCTAAGTCGCCCTACTTACTAAGTTATTTTTGCATGTATCACGCAAACGGTAGTAAAATGAAGTGGGCATAAAACTAAAGGGTTAATAGGAAATCAATTAAGTAAACTACAGTCATTAATAATAATACCTATTGCGCGTTGGATTGCGACGTAACTAGCACTTGATTTACTATGGAGTCATGCAATCTTGAACTGTATTTGAACTCTGTTACAATATTTCTCACATGTGACTGTGATAAGTGATAATAACGTCTTAATATTGTCTTGTTAGTTGTGAGTGTGTAAGTAATATTGTAGAGTACGTTTTTTAACCCGTTGAAAAAATAACAAAGTCATCCTCTAAAATTGTTCATTCAAAAGTAGTCTCTAAACATTCGAAATGTGTCCATTGAAAGGAGAGACGGTTAGAACTCCCCTTGACAAGGATGGAACACACACAATTGGTTAAGGCACAACTTGACCACATTTTTTTTGTCGCGGAGAACCTAACGGGTTACCGGAGCTCCGGCTCGACGTGCCGGAGAAGGAACGGGGTGGTTTTTAGTCAGTAAGAGTCTGACACTCCCTCCCGCCTCACCCAGGTGGGAGCAGTAATTTGATGATTTACCCCCTTAAAAAAACATTGGAAATAAGGTCTATAAAGTAGTTAGTGGAGAGCGGTCATTGGTGACCGCTTGGGGATATATGGGTAGTATATTCATAGGTACCTAATGTTTTTTTTTTAATTGACTTCAAAAAGAAAAAGAAGACTGTTGTCAGTTTGAATTGTATCTATTTATGTTCGTGCGCGGTTATCTCGCGATCGGCTGAACCGATGTTGATGTGGGTTTTCAGAGGTTTTCAGAAGAACACTAAGGAGAAGATTTTAGTATTAATTAACCGACTTTATAAAGAGATACTTAAGGTTTAAATTGCTTTTTTTAAACGTAGTTTAAAAAATATTTATTTTTTATTATGAGGGATTGCAGTCGGTATGTAGTTAAACATTAATCTACATGGATAGAATTTAACAGCATAATTATTAATATACATACATACTCCACAAAGCATGAATTGTGTTGCAAAGCCATGCTTCGGCAAGAATGGGCTTGCTCGACCGGAGTGATACCACAGCCTCATAGAAAACCGATGTGAAACAACGCTTATGTTATGTTTCGTCGTGTGAGTGAGGCTAACGGAGGCCCAGTTACCCCACCCGGCGCCCCCCTTCCCCAATCTCTGAGTTCTCAACAATCCTCAAATTCCTAATCCCCAAAAGGCCGGTACCACACTTGTAACGCCTCTGGTCTTCCAGGTATATGGGCGACGCTGATTGCTTAAATTCAAATTGAAATTCAAATTCATTTAATCGTACTTCGTATCTTACCATCAGGTGATCCATCTCGACCGCCTTATCCTATAAAAAAATAGTATTAAGGTAATATTTATTGGAGAACATAGCTTAATATTGTATTATAAATACAGTTTCTATAGTAAGTACCACTAAGCCAAACAAACCACATTAAATTCAAGATTAAATCAAAACCTTGCCTTCCTTTTATAGAGGTTTATGCTATCAAAAGACGTAGACTCCTTACTATCTACCCATACTACATACATAGAGGTGTGGTTTCATTGAAGGCACCACAAAAGCTTGTGATTTACAGTACAATGTGCTACGAAGCAGGTTAATTCAGTTAATTAATTATTAACGCACGTCTTGTTCTCAACATGTGGTATCTTCATGGCAGGTCGGAAGTTTGTAGATAGATCCTTAATACCTATTGGGTTGATAGGAAGGGTGGATTATAATTTGTTGTTAGATATATCTATGTCTAAGTTCCTTCATAGTAAGTCGGTACTTTAGAACCTGTTCACACGGGGATATTTCACTGCGACGTTTTTTATTCGTTACTTTGTAACGTATTGAATATTTTTGAAGTAGATAGTCGAACAGGTATGTTGGTCCTAATAATGATTTCAGGCAAAGACGCGATGCGGATCGGAATTAAGTACATATCTGTTTTATACAGGAACCGCGAAGGGCCTTTCGGCTCGAAGCGCAGAAGTAGGACCGGGTGGTTTTTAGTCATAAGAGTCTGACACTCCCTCTCACTCAAGATGGGAGAAGTCATTGGATAATTTTCCCCTCACAAATAAATTTCGTTCATAATATTCGTTGCAGTTTCACCCACCTACCTTAATCAAACTTCAATTTTAAAAGGTTGTGTCTAGTCTATATCTATTATTAGGCATCTATTGCCTCTTTGCCATTGGACAGGGTTATATAAATAAACAGACACATTGTTTATCAAGTTTGACCTCTCTCCGGCCGTGTCGGATTGCCGACTCATCGGATCACGAGACTTTACGAGAACGAACCTGTGTTTGTGTTCAAACTTGTGCACTAGTCTATAATATCACAATGTTCATAATTTAGTATTGTTAGTATTAGACCAATACAGAACCCCTTGATAAGTCTGCCATCTTTCAGGAACACGTCACAGTTCACACCAAACGTAGCTGCACTGTACACACCTGAGACCACTGACGTCACAAAAAATCACTAATCACTATAACTTCACATATCACTATGTGAGAACAATCACAAATCACAATCACTATTATGTTCAACCGTTTCTTCACCACGTAAAAGAAACTGACACCTTCATGTCGCGTCAAAATTATTGTCAGTAAGGGCCCTCGCTCACACAACTTTTTGTAGAGATGCTGTCGCGCGTCCGCATCGATACAGTCGGCGTGGGCGAGGGCCCTAACGTTCACAATGTCCGAATAGTCGCTATGTGCTAAATAAATTTGAATTAACGATGTAATTTATATGAAAATAATTTATTTGAGTCACATAACTTTATCGGGTACTCCATTTGAAGGTGGCGACGTTAATTTGGCGAACAAATCAACCCTAGTATTCTAGAGTATTTCATTATTACGGTTACACGACTGGTCAAATTGGGGGACCATGGGGTCACAGAAATGTTATCTAAGTGTACACTAGAACAGTACACTTGAACTAATTTTTTTTATACGTTTAAAGTAATCTAACGAGTACGCATTCGGCGCTCTGACTGGTTGCTTCTTTGGCGCCGACCAATCAGAGTGCTCGTTTCGAATACTTTTTTAAACGTAAAACAAACGCGTAGGTACCTACTAAGGCTTTCATTAGCACATTCGACCACCATCAAGTTCAACTACGACACAACTGTCAACTAACGAGTGACGCGGAACACTTTTGAATTATAAGTATTTTTGTCTACTAAAAAATAATGTAATCTTTTTGCACACGAACACGGATGATGAGAACAAGGTATTTTGGTAGTAAATTTAGTTCTTATTTTCGCAATATTTAAGTCGATTTTCGCACGAAATCGTTAGATTCACAAATTATTGATTCTGTGTATGGGATGTGTAGGTATTGTATACATGTGTGAAATCCAATCACACTTGCTGCCACCATTTAAGAATATTGTTTTTTTTTAATACAAACATTTCAGAGCAGTTGACGTAAGACAACGGACGTGATTAGCGATTCTAGTATCTTTATCTCGGGCAATAAGAGTTATTTTTCTAAATCCTACTTTCAATTGGTGAAGTATGTATTATATGCAATTGAATTTTCAGGTAATAAAACAAAGATTAAAACAGAAAGATTTATTATAATTTATAATAATTAAACAGTTGTATGGAACAACAAAAAATATTAGACAAGCTAATATGTATTCTAAATACATTTTACTTAAAGTTACTTTTTAACTTACGTCTTTACCTTACAGATCTAATAAATAGGAATAAATTAAAATACAGTGCAAATCATATTTATCAAATTAACACAATGTAATTTTGCTACAAAGATTTTGACGATATTGAACCTTATTCACTTGGATTTAAGAGTTAAGTCAGTAGATATACTACGCAAGTATTAAAACACTGGAAGACATCGTTCAAAGGAATATTTGCCTTAAGTAGTTGGTGCTAAAGTTCAATATTGCACATTGTACATTCGACGGAATTTTAAAGAATCAATATAATTATATTCACAGCCATTCCTGAATAAATAGAGGAATGTTTTTATATAAAAAACTATATAAAGTTATATAGAAATCATTTTGTAGATGTTTTCATTTGATAACAATATTAGGATCAATTCATATAAGCAAATCGAAGCGTCAATCAGAAATGCCACAGGAAATTCAACCTTATTACCACACTGTAATGCACATAATTCCTTTGGAGATAACAAGTCGAATGAATTCGCGCACATTCGGCGGTATTCGTGCGTTAGAATTCAACCAATGCTTTTGGAAGGAACATGTGTGCCTTACTGTGCAGAGATAAGGTTGATTTTGCTGTGGACTATTAGAATTGACGCCTTCGCTATTTTAATCGATCTTTACTAATAATTACCTACATACCCACTTAAATAATTATATTTATAATACTCAATGATCCTTATATACTAATCTTAATCTAAAATTTGTAGGCACGATGGAATTTTTAAATTTATAGAATTGTTACAAAATATTCCGGTATAGAGATTCCTTTACATTTAAAATTCGAATTAACTTCCAAAGATTGAATGAAACTTGAACACTGGAAGATAAACAAGAGAACTGATAAATTAAAAAAAAATGTTGCTCATAATTGCAATCAGTAACTTAGCAAGCTCAAGAATTAGACAAAATTAGCCTCTATTTCAATGAAATAAAGTTGATGTTTAAAAAAAATTGCTTTAAACAATAAGAGGTTTTATGTAACATAAATAATTATAATATAGAGAGATAGTTTTCTAGATATTTTCAAGGCTTTTTTTACTGTAATTGAGTCTTTTGGGCTAAGTGTTTGGCTGCTTGGAAGGTGTTATGCATCAGCATAGCTACGGTCATAGGTCCTACTCCACCGGGGACCGGGGTCACTGCACCGGCCACTTTGACAACCTCTGTTTGGAGAAAAGAATAAAAAAAAATTAGAAAAAGAAAAAAAGATGTGCAGGTTTTCTTGGTGTTTGAATTTGGAATATTGAAAATGAAGATTATAAAAAGTATAAGTATAGCAACAGTATATTTAAGTTTTTCATATAGGATCAATAAAATTAAACTGGGTATTGTAGAATTGTAAAAAACTAAGTTCCGGAAAATAATAGTAACTAAGTTCATGAACCTAGCGTAGACAAGTAAGCAGGTATAATTAATTAAACTTTTCAAAAAAAGAATTTTAATAAACTGATCTAGTGATGATAAATGAGTAAAAAACAGTTGTAGGAATATGTAATATGAACTTACCATCATAATCAACATCACCCACCAGTCTGGATTTTCCATTTTCATCAGTAATTTTGGTGATTCCAACATCTATAACGGTTGCTCCAGGCTTGATCATATTCGCCTTTATTAGTTTAGGTACACCTAAGATAAAACAATTTAAGATTAATAACATGTAATTTCCAAGAAAGAAGGATCATTTTTAGTACTTAAGTCAAACTCAGTCCTTATTTCTCAATGTTAAAATATACTAGATATGACTAAAAATTCAAAGACAAAAATTTTGTCTGAGAATCATTACATTGCAAGGGATATTCAATAAAAGTTCCATAATAATAATAATTAGGTTATCAAATAAAATAAATACCTGTCGCCGTAATAATAATATCAGCATTCTGGCAGAAGACAGTCAGCTGTTCACTTGGAGTGTAGCGATGGCAAATGGTTACCGTAGCATCCATGCCCAAACCATTGTCATGTTTCTTGTCACTATGCAACATCATCGCAATCGGTAGTCCTACGTTCTTAGACCGGCCCACCACAACCGCGTTACGTCCAAAAGTTTCGATGTTAAACCTAAAAATATCGAAAAGTTGTCATATTTGTGCGGGACTGCTTAATCTTTGGCAAGATTTAATTTTGATAAAATTATTTATATAACATTCCATGATTAAAGTTAGATATATGCGCACTCACCTCTTCAGCATCTCAATAACAGCTAAAGCAGTAGCAGGCACTAATGTAGGCATGTCAACACACAGCTGTCCGATGTTCACAATATGGAAACCGTCAACATCCTTTTCAGGAGCCACCGCATTGCACACTTTCCTTTCACTCATGGTCTCAGGTATTGGCAACTGAACCAGGATACCATCAACACTGCTGTCAGCATTTAGAGCTTCAATCTCCTGGATGAGCCGTTCTTCGGATATAGTACTCTCATGTTTGATCACTTCAGCGTTAATGCCAACATATCTTGCAGCAATGATCTTGTTGTTTACGTAAGTGTGGCTAGCCGGGTCTTCTCCTACTAAGATGCAACGGATGGATGGTGCCCGGTTGCCCAGGTTCACCCAGTTTGCAATTAGTTCTTTCAATTCGTCCTTCACGGTCCCAGCCAAAGCCTTGCCGTCGAGGATTCGGGCCATAATGCTGTTAGACAAGAATTATTATTAAATATTTGACGCAACTAATAATGGCTATTATTGTGTCTAAATAAAACACTATTAAGTGATTATTGTTTTAGAAAAACTACAAAACAAATAACACTATTAGTTATACTACAGAATGTAGGGTTATTGATTGATAAAAATTATTTGAAACTTTACATGGCTAATTCTGAGTGTATGTTTTTCAATAACTCATACTTTGCTGACCATGGCATGAATTGATTGTATTGCTATCACAATTATCCATATTAGCAATTATCAGAAAGTATTCATTAATGGCCTAACAAAATTAATGAATAAATATATTAGAATGGAGCAAGATGCAAATAAATATTTTTAGTTGCACTAGAATAATTGAGTATGTAAATTTAATGTAATACACAACAGTAGTTACAAAATAAGTAATAAAAAGGAGGTAATTTAGAATACACCCAAAAGTAATGCTACAAGAAAATACAATAAGTGCAGTTAAAAAAATCAAAACAAATCAATCTAAATAAGCCACAACACAAATTTTTCAAATTTCTAAATTACCTGGCCGAGCCCAGAGAATCAATGTACGTGTGACTTCTCATTGTGGATGTCAGTAGCGAACTGAATACTCGGAGGCGTAGGATTTGCCTCATCGCTTACTGTCAACGTACATAGGTCATTAGGTCAACATGACCGAACAATTTACAGAACTGATAAAACATTATCTTCAAAGAATACACGTCAAGCCAAATTAAACCAGATAATTACAGTTTCAAAATGAGAACATCAACAGGTTAAAAAGTTCAATAAATATCTCCGTTGCATATCAGGTAAAAACTGCTTTTGACCATTTTATTTTGAAGATGTGTCAATAAAACTGGTTTTAAATGCAGATAGGAAACTTTTAACAGTAGGAGTCTTGTAGGTACTGGCTGAATAAAAATTACAAAGACAAAACAGAAAAAGTTACCTTGTGTTTTTGAAATTAGAATGCAAAGAACAGTCTTTGGTATTATCTGAAGCAGAAATGACAAGACAGGTTATAGTGTTTGTGTTTATTTTAAGTGAAGCCACATGTTGAACAAACTATAACCCAGAATAATGGTTATAAACTTCCTCATGTTTAGCTGCTGAAGACTAAACATTGGTTGTTATTTCTTTCACTGATTTTTCAATAAAACAGTGTCTGTAACTTATTTCTTCAGTTAAATTGGAATTTTATCATAGATTTGTTTTATAAAAGCTAACAAATAATATAATAATATAGTTTTAGCCAACAAACTTACAGATTTTAGTAGTTTTCTTTTCAAATAGTATCACAATTAACCTCTTTAGTCGCGGCCTTGGCAACTGTGGAATAGTTTCTAACTGTTCTATCAACTTCGACGTGTATTGTCACAGAAATGGTGATTTTTTATTACTTTATTTAACGTACGAACACAAATTAATCAAAACTTGCTATATTGTTCACGTGCGATAGCGATAACGTGGTAATGTCAAAATTAGGTTATGAGTTTTAGAACGCACCTATGTTGAAATATTGTTTTTTTTTAATGAAAATATAGGTTATATCCCTAAAATAGTTTGTGGTGCATAGCTATCGAAATAATTATTGCTATTTGTAATCTGAAATTGATTTTTTTATTTATGATATTGATAGAAAATGTATGTGAACGTGGTTTCAGAACCGGCTTTCTTCTACATCCTTGATGAATTTGACAATGACGTAACTATTTTTGACATGCCCTAAGGAAAGGACATTTTGATGCACGAAATTTAAAAATCATAATCTTCTGACATGAAATACAAAGAAAATTAACTTAAATTAACTTAACATCATCTGGGTCATTTAGTAACAACGTTTGTTAGTTCTAAATTACCTACAAGTTAAGTACGTCATCAGGTTATACAGAATCAGATCATCAAATAGATAATTAAATGTTATTGTACCTACCTATTAAATAAAAATAGCTTCTTTTCCGTTCACATTATTTGTCAATTTGGTAAAATGATATCGATAGACGTAATACGCGTTACTGATAACTTTACGTCAAAACGTAAACATATTTAAATTATCATGGAAATATTTACCTACCTACCTATATTATTACTTATGTTCGATTATATAGTCAATTTGTTTTATAGACAAGTATGTATCAAGGTGCGAAGCAGCGTTAATCTGTGTTATGAGTCATAACTAGTAAAATCCAAACATTGAATCAATGAAGCATACAACGAAACATGTAGTAAGATAATTCCTGTTAAAAAACTACTAGGCTTGCCCCACATTAGACCTTTTTCCTGCATCGTGGGTGCGTTCATAAACATACAAACTCACATGCCTACACAATACATCACACCTATATCTGGACTGTGGCCTTTGAAAATCGGTACTTAATTGAACTAATTGAAGAATATCTATGTCAGGTATGCATAGAACGGCCTACGAAATTACTATTCCTTAAAAACCTTGATACATAAGTAAGCTACCCACTTTCTTTCAAGTAAATTCTCTTGCCCCTTGCCGATTTATCAGTGCAGTTTTTAGATACCTATAGATAAGTGAATAAGGTTAGTATTTAAATTCTTAACTACTCCTATACTAAACAGCATCTAATAGTTAAGTAGGTAGGTACTTCTAAGAACTGTTGTGTGCTGGTCATCTAAAATCTTATGTCTAACCATTTCTACCAAGATAACACACTTTTGCTATAAGCCAATTGGACTCAAAGTGATGACACAATGGGTGTGACTTGTTATAATTGCCCGAAAGGCCCCCAACTGAGTAAAGGTTAACCTAATCTATAAAAAACTGTTAGATAGGTACCTACAATTTGGGTACAACAACGTTCAAATTAAAATATTCCATCTTACATTAGGTACCTAATACTAAGATAATATTTGTAGATACCTACGTATCGAAGTGCTATTTTAAAAGTATAACTAAATGGAATAATTTTAATCACGATTTAATAATGTAAGGGTTATCGCGAGAAGTTGTAATATTTTCAAAACATTCTATTAATAATAGAGTTACTACCGGCAAAGTGGCAGCGTTTCGAAGGTTATCTCCAACTAGTACCGTGAAGCAATTAATTGGAGCGATTTGGAATTAAAACCATTCACTAATTACTACACCTACCTTATTATCTGAAGAATAATATTGGAAAAACATTACCTCGGTTTGAGGAATTCCATAACATTATGCAAATAAAAGAACTATTACAGAATTTTAACTGGGTACTTTTGTGATCTTAGTCACGCTTTGGCAAAGTTGAGTAAGGTTCAATTGTTCAATAACAAATAAAAAATAACTTAAAGTATGAAATATGTTGCGAACAGGATTTTTATCAGTCAGGAAATAAAGTAAATCTATGTCAACGGAGTTGTAGCTTTTCGGATCAGCCGCTATGAGCGTGCTGGTCACAAAAGAGCGGTGGCGTGCGACAGGGGTCAATCCTGGGGCCACTGTATGCGTAATCTTTATTAATGGTTTTGTATTCTTACGAAGTGTTGGTTTTGGTTTATGTTACAAAAAAAGTTAAGATAGAATGCACTAGAATAATAAATTGAGATAGGAACAGTAGGCTTTGCTTAATGTTTGTGCTGATTATCATCGTGAAAAATATAACGCATGTGGCTAATCGGCAATCTCATGTAAAGATACAAAGATATTGCGCAATGTGTTTATAAAAAATAATCTATGTAGATACTGTTGTGTCATTACATTAACTGTAAGCTGTATCTCTACCATACAAAGGTAGGCTGATCTGATAGTAATTGCATAAAGCAATAATCGGGCATAATTCCAGACTTCGTATTAATATCGCGACTTTTTCGAAAAACGTGAACAAGCCCGATATTCCTTTGCCTGACCTGGGAATTGAACAAAAAATTTAAACTGCATGTTCTCATGAAATTTGAGTGACGGTGACGCGCTAGTCAGATAATATGACGCGTGTGGGTGTGTTCCGTGACGCAGGGGTCAAACGATAACGAGTTGTGTCAATGTCTGGATGTTACTGATTATTTAATTACTACCTATTCAATATAATTAGCCATATGCAATAAAAACATATTGTTTCTAGTATGTTTAGACGGTAAATAACATAACATATACTCTAAACACATTGTCAATGGCATAATGTTCTATCTAAGCGTAGACAGAGTGAAGGTACACAACACCCACTTTTCGCTAGTTTATTAAGTTCTTTTGTTTTTGGTATTATGCTGGTTATGATCTGAATGATAACACTACTTATCTTACATTCGGTATACTGCTACATGGTCATATTGAACCAGAAAAAAGCTTTGAAAATTGATGAAGATGAAAAATGATGGATGAATACAGATGACATTTGGTTTGAAATATCTTTTTGACCAAATAAGACATACTTACCTACATCTCTAAGTTATCTTGTTTCTAATTCAAAATTAACTTTTATAACATAACATAACACCACGTCTTTTATCTCCGAAGGGGTAGGCATAGGTGCATATTATGCCACTGTGCAATGTAACATCCACTTTTCACTATTTATGTTATGAGTCCAATGTAGTAGGGGGTGAGCCTATTGCCATATACCGGGCACAATTCCAGACTCCGTGCTACTATTGAGATTTTTTTTAAAACCCAGTATTACTTTGCATGACTGCCCCAGTCGCACTTGCGACCACTCGGCAAACGAGGCAGTCTTTTACAACTTTTACATAGGTAGGTGATATATATAACTGACAATTAAGTAACAACATTGTAACACCAAGTTATCGTATCTAAACTGAAGTAATTGTTATCAACTGACAAAATCGTTCAGAGTTCTAGATAATATACCTCTATTATACCTAATATTAGGTACTAATATTAATAGGTATTAGATATGCTATCAATATTGCGATCTGACATTGTGGCATACATCGGTAACCTTGTGTTATCGTAAGGTCGAATAGATAGGCTTATCTTTAGATACGGGTTGCATCGATCGGTTGCAATTTTACTAATTTTGATTTAGATAATATTCACATAACATACTGTTACGAATTTTTTAATCCCTTAATGATTTATAAGTAGAGGTACAAATTATGTAACATCTGCTTTTCACCCGTTATTTTTTTATTAGTTTTATGGGGGTTGATCATTTACATTAATAGTGTAACAGTCCACTATAGGACTACATGGACCTTCTCTACAAAAGAGGACATTCAAACCATTCAACCCATCTGGGTTGGGGATCGCAGATTTAAGAGTCAGGTTAAACATAGTGCATTGCTAATATATTTTTTTTTTAGGGAAACGTTGCCCCACATTCGGATTTTCTTTTGTGTCGTGGGTGCGTTTACAAACACAAATTCACATACACATGACACTCAGACCCGGAACAACAATTTATGGATCACACAAAGTGTTGTTCCGTGCGGGAATCGAACCAGCGACACGTTGCACGGCAGCCGGTTACCCAGCCACCGCGCCAACCGTGCAGTCAATATTAAGGTTCTAAGGTCAATATTATGGTTCCTTATTTGATTGTTATGACACCCCCGGGAATAGAGGTGGTGATAATAGGCGTGTCGACAGGGTAAAAAAATCAAAAAAGTAATTAGTCCGTCATTAAGATCGCACGAAAATATCAGACACGTATTTTTTGTTTCATCAAATTAACAGAAGAATACGTAGTTATTCCGCATTAAAGTTAGAGAGTGGGGGGTGTTGACGTCACACTTACGGAGAAATCGTACCTAATTGTGACGTCACGCGTCATTTTAACTCAAAATATCTACATGTTTTTTTGGATACGAGAAAAAAGAAAAAATACGTATCGAAGATTTTTAAAATATCTAAAAGACGGACAAAAAATTAAAAAATTGTCGCCATGCCTATTGTAGGCATCCTAGTCTACAGATATTACACGGCGGCGAGTCATAATACTTTCGAGGTACAAGTACGATTCCAGACTTTGTGCTAGTAGGTACTGTGTAACTTTCGGATAAATGAAACCACTGATATTTAATAAATAAATATCTATATATCTATAAGTTTGACGCAATATTCTCAGTTCATACCCATGAACTGAGAATATTGCGTCAAACTTATAAGTTGGAATAACATTTTGAAAACAATATTTTTGTTCCTGATTTTATGTATAAAAAAATAAACAAAAAATTAAACTTACCCGTTACAAGCACTTATGAAATAATTTCAACCACAAATATTTCAATGCTGACAACGTTGTTTATTCACGTCGTATTTATAGGAAATGCATTTGATGAATAGGTACCTCAATATGTGCATTGTGGTTAACCACTTTCACGATAAAGTATTGATAAGATATCGATGTATTGGTAACCATGATAAAATTGTAAAATTATGATGTCAGTGGCACGATAGAGGTCGTTCAACTTTTGTTACTATGGTCATAATTATTATTTAGCTTAGTTTCACTGTTAGACAGAAGGACGGACAATTCAATTTTTGACATTTGAATAGTGCCTAATTAAGGA